AAGCTTCCTCAACCTTTCTTCTTTTTTTTTTTTTTTTTAGATTTTTACCATAGGGAGAGAGCATTCACTGGAGAGTGACAGACACAGTGAGAGGGAAAGTGAGAAATCATACCCCAGGGGGTGGGGATGGCCACAGTGCAATCTCTTCTTCTCCATTCTCCTCATTGGAGTTTGGACATGCAGATACACACATTCAGTGTATCCTTCAAGCTGTCAGGTCTGGGACTTGTACTATGGAGATGCCCATGTGGGATCCAGTGCCTTAACTACCATGCCAGTTGTTGCCCCCCCCCCATCTACTTTTAAATATTTAAAGATGGCATTTAGGAATCCAAGTACATACTCTACCATGCATAAAGAACAAATGATAGAATATCTTTTTTTTTTAAGTTTAGATCTGCATGAGGAAATACTGAGTTCAAAATGATTGTTGTATCCACTGTTTTCAGTTTTTTTTAATTGATAGTATTTTTTCAGAATTATGTCTTGATCACATGGAAAGGGGGTCAAAAGATTTTTTTTAATAATAAGACACAGTGCAAGATAAGGTATTTTGATCCAAATCAGATTGTGTTTGATTTGTTATTTTATTAAAAATATTTACATATGGTCCTATTTATATTTCTGAACAAAACATGTAATATTTCTTTGGAGAGAGAAAAGGAAAGACTGGAAAGATATACATCAGACTGCTAACATTGATTATTGCCAGGTAACTGCATTGTAGATTATCCTATTTTTTTCCTTTTGCTAATGTGATTTTCCAAATTTTCCTACAATTATTATTACAATTCTACAGTGTTTTGGTTCTTTACTGATAAAAAACATTTTAAGTCAGTTGTTATTAACCTAGTTTGTTTTGACCAAAAAACACATGAACGATCACAAATAATGCTTTACTTCAATTATCCCAACCAGTATGAAGAACAAGAGCAATTTAAAGGAAGAAAACAGGCTTTACCTTTATATTCCCTCTTTCCAGTTATCCCTCAAACTATTGATGAAAACGAGGACATCTGGAATCCAGAAGAAGTTCCAGAAGGAGCAGAGCATGATGACATGTGTGATGACAGAGAAATCCCAGAGTAAGTCAAATAAAGTCAGGAATGTGTTAGGAGTTTAAGTTAGATGTGTCATCTGATATCATTCCATTTTTGACAATATTCATAAATTAACTTATACTGCATGAAAGATAAAACTGTGGTGACACACCGAAGGCATATATAATTGATTTTTTTTTCTTCTGGAGCAGAAATAAATAATAAAACATAAGACCTTCCTTTCAGTTAGTAACTGGTAGAAAATTAGAAATACAGTAATTTCCACTATAAATTTGTATTTAATGTCAGTTTATTTTAGAATGTAGAGCTAACAGTGTGAGAAAATTAGCCTATTAAATTGCAGGCATTCATACAGACTAAATTACAATACCATGTTTATGTGTCAAAGACCTGAATTTAATTACTCAATGTTTTACAATTCCAGTAAAAGACTATATTCTCTCTCCAAATAGTAATTATTATCCAGGCTTATTTACTAGATATCAAGGTTATACTTAGTGTTCAGTGTATTTTTTCAAACAGGATTCAAGCTTTTTTTTTTTGTAGTCTTTTTCAATACAATCGAATTATAAATATGAAATTTAGGATTATTATCATAACAAATCTTTCAATCTGACCAAAAAAATCCCTCTCATACTTTCTTTCTTTTTCTTTTTTTGTGGCGTGGCCAGGGGGGATGGCCACGCCGCAATCCCTTCTCCTCCATTCTCCTCTCGGGATCTTGGGCACGCACGCACATGTGCCTGGTGTGAGTTTTAAGCCACCGGGTCCGGGACGCAAACCGCGGTCGACTACGTGGGAGTACAGCGACATAGCCATTACGCTAACTGCTGGTTCCCATACTTTCTTTCTTTTTAAGAAAGATTTTTGTTACTGGGTGTATGCCCTCACCAGAGAGACAGAGAGAGACAGAAAGACAGAAAGTGAGAAATCATCCTCCAAGGGGGATGGCCATGCTGCAATCCCTTCTCCTCCATTCTCCTCTCAGGATCTTATGCATGCATGCACACACACCCCACGTGAGTTTAAAGCCGCTGGGTCCAGGACTTGATTCGTGGTCGACTGCCTGGGAATCCAGTGACATAATCATCACGTCATCTGCTGCTCCTTAATAAGTTACTGTAGGGCATATCCACTCAACAGAAAGAAAGAGAAAGTGAAGAAGCACTCCCACAGGGGGATGACCACACCACAAACCCTTCTCCATTCTCATCTTGGAATTTTAAACAGACATACACATGTGCCCAGCATGTTCCTCAAGCTGCCAGGTCCAGTACTTGAACTGCAAAGTTGGCCATGTGGGATGCAGCTGGCTTAACCACCACTCCACTGGCTGGCCCAACCCCACTCATACTTTTAAGTAACTTAAATTATATTTACATACATAGATGAAATTAATGGTTACTTAGACTAAGCTTTAAATACATGCATTTTAAAATAAATCTTGATTGGGACCAGCAGTTAGCATAATGGCTATGTCGCTGGACCCCCACGTAGTTGACCGCGGTTCGCATCCCGGACCTGGTAGCTTAAACTCACGCCGGGCGCATGTGCATGTGTGCCCAAGATCCCGAGAGGAGAATGGAGGAGAAGGGATTGTGGCATGACCATCTCCCCTGGGGGGTGATTTCTCGCTTTCTGTCTCTCTGTCTCTCTGTCTGGTGAGCACACGCGCCCTATAAAAAAAAAAAAAAAAGAAAAAAAAAAAACCTCTCCCCCCCAAATAAATAAATAAATAAATAAATCTTGATTGAATATTCAAAATAGCTGGAAACACAACATACTTACTAAATCGTAATATATTTTATAAATTATTAAAGACTTCTATAGCAAATGATCTGACAACTTTCCTAATTCTGACTATAAAACTATATAAATACTTAAAAAAAAAACTGCTTCTCTTTTTGATGTCAGTTCTGCAAACAGAAGCAATGGGAGGCAGAAGATAAATAATTGGAAAGAAATATCTAGCTTTTAAATAAACAATGTCAAAAAACCATAAACTTTATAAAAATATTAAAAGAGATTTTAAGACAACATATCTGTCCACATCTTAAAAATGAAGAGAGCAAATCTCAGGTTGTGCTTACACAATGCCCACACATCCATATGAAAGATAAGAATTAAGTCACTCATTTGTCATGCTATCTAATGAATGTCAAACATCCTTATCCAGCAAGCTTCAAATTTGAGTAAATTTTCACTTTTCATACTGATGTTTGATGTTCTGTAGATAGTACATACATGAAAGTTTCAAATGAATAACAACTCCAGTCAAGATATGAGGAAAATTGCTTTATTAAGATTTTTTAAATCTTTGTTTTCTACTGTATGAAAATACATTTCAAAATGTCCCGATGGGTAAAGAGGAGAATGAGTAAAGAACATGGACAGGTAGTTCACAAAAGAAGCACAAGTAGCCAAATAAAAAAATAACAAGGACCTGAGCTATAGCACTGGCCTTGGGGAGAAGTATGAGGGTATTCATTTGAGAGAGTTTTGAAGGAAGATTCGATATTTGATTAGTTATCATGGATGAGAGGAAAGTATGAAAGATGATGATGAGGCTACTAGCTTGATGAAATGGTGATGCCCCTAACTGTGATAGGGAATATAGGCAGAGGACAAGCAGTGAATTTCATTTTGGATAGGTTGACCCTGAGATACCTTTGGGTCATCCAAGCAAACCTGCATAGTAGGCAGTTGGAAAATTACATCTGGAGCTCTGGATACAAGGAGAAGATTAAGCAAGTCCATCTGGGAATCACAAGCATACCAATCAATCCCTTCTGTTTTATTTTAACCTTACTTCACCTTTGTAAATACTTGGTAGATGTTATAACCTATTAAAAGGAAAGTGTCCCATATCAAATAACTACTTATTGTTAGTCCTGTTCAAATGCAAAGAAATTTCATTTTTCATTTTAGGGAGTTCTTGTTTGCAAATGGTCAGAAGTTCAATCTAGTCCTTTAATCTTCCTATCTAGAGATGTACCATTTCCTCATCAGGGTACAATTAAACCGAATAAATATGAAGAAATGGTCTTCAAAACTTTATGGAAAATACATATTATGTAAAAATTATCATGGATTTCAATTTTTTTTTCATCAAAATAAGCATTCTTTGATTCCATTTTCTCCACAGAGTCTTTGGAGTCTTCTCAAAATTCTTAATTCTTATGTTTGTTTCAGAAACTGTTCTATCCCTAGGGTGTTTAAATTGAAGGGGAAGGAAAGAATTGTGAATTGCCATGTGTGGGGTGTAATAACAGGAAAATCTTTTATTGAACTGAGAATTCTGTAGGATTGGGTTCTAAAGCCTATAGCATAGTTGTGATGACTGCATTATCAGTGCTTCTACTGCAGAATTTTAGAGGTAGAAAAGATCATAGAGATCATTTAGTTCAAATCCACCTTTCTCATAAATCACCCAAATGGAAAAGCTTGAGACCCCAAGGTTTGTGACTTGACCAGAGTCACACAGTTAATGACAGATACAGTACTAAACTTAGGTTTTCTAACTTGACCCTGTCATTTAACTTAGCAGAGGATTTCTTCTGTCTCTCTCTCTCTCTCTCTTTTGCTTTAATTTGCTATACGGTGCATGTGCTCCACCAAAGAGAGAGAAACCACTCTCCCCCACCCCAGGGATATGACCAAACTACAATTCCCTTCTCTAAGAATTTTGGGAATGCACACACATATCTGTCTTGTTTTTCAAGTCTCCAGGTCTGGGACTCAAACTGCACAGTTGATCATGTGGGACCCAGTCACCTTAACCACCACCACAGACTGGCACCAGAGGATTTCTATTAACAATTATCCATCAAACCCTGGATTATGGGTTCAATACTTTGCTGAGCCATCATTTTCCAGAACTAGACCTTCCTTGTTTTCTTCTACTTTAATCTTAGAATCTTATTTCAAGTTCCTTCAATCCATTTTATTTGTATGGCCCAAAAAGAGTTAAGGTTTATTTTAGACAATTTATATATATATATGTATATGTATATATATATATATATACATATATATTTATATATAAAATGATAATACTGCTTTTCATTGTTTGGTATTTTGACTACACTTTTAGACTTCTATTTCTTTATATTCTACTACATACCCGAAAAACCACAAGCACATTATCATTTACTCCTTTTATTTTTTGCAATACCATGTCCTCATAAGTTTCTAGTTTTCTGTTCTGTTACAGAAAAGTGCTCTTTTATTTGAGTCTCTATTATCATTAACTGTTTTTTCAGATATGAGATTATATTCAAACAGCAGGTGGGCACTGAAGATATATTCCTAGGACTTACAGGAATGGACCCTTCAACTGCATGTTGTAAAGATCTAGTGGTAAGTCTCTCCTCCCTTCTCCATTTTCTATATGACTATTATAGCTCAACTGACTAACTATTGTATATATAATATTATAGGTGGGACCATTATCTGGTGTAGTGGTTAAGGCGCTGGACTCCCACATGGTTAACCATGTTTCAAGTCCCAAATCTAGTTGCTTGAAAATCATGCTGGGCACATGTGCATGCATTCCCAAGATCCCAGGAGAAGAACAGAGAAGAAGGGATTGCAGTGTGGCCATCCTCACTTGGAGAGGGTAATTTCTCACTTTCCCTCTCACTGTCTCTCTGGCAACTGCACTTGCCCTATGGCACAAACAAACAAACAAAAAGTATAGGTAAGGCTGTAACCTCTTTTAAAATAGTGATTACTCTGTTTCAGGAACCAGGGGAATAATGTGATAGACAGTTGATTATATTAATTCTTTCAATCCAGGAACATGGGATATCCTTCCACTTTTTTGTGTCATTTTCAATTTCTTTTTTTATCTTCTCGTAGTTTTCCTTGTGGAGGTCTTTAACTTCTTTGGTTAGATTTATCCCTAAGTATCTTATACTTTTTAGGTAATGCCAATTTTTAAAAGAAATATTTATTTGATTTTATTGATTATTATTATTATTATTATTATTATTATTATTTTAATAGTAATAATAATCAGAGGAAGAGAGAGGGGAAATGAAAAGGCAAACTACCAGGTCTGAGACACCAACCATGGTCTGTGACACCAACCATGGTCTGCCATGTTGGAGTCCAGTTCTTCAACCACCATGCCACCTGCTGGCCCACATTAAATATATGCATTTGATTGCATGATGCATCTTAACATCAGAAATATTAAAATGTGATAAAGGGTTTGTCTTGTGGCACAGCAGTTAAGTGCTATGCTCTTAGTAGAAGAGCTGGGGCTTCTTGGAACACATTTAAAAGATGCTGACCTAGTCTTTCCACCTTATAGTATGGTTGAAAAACTAATGTCAGGCTTGCAAGATATCAAATACAGTTGGCCCTCCATATCTGCAGGTTCTGCATCTACAGATTCAACCCACTCAGATTGGAAATATTTGGAAAAAATAAGAGATAAAAAATAATAATAGATGATAAAAATAATACAAAGAAAGAAATATAATAACTAGATAACATTTATACTTATTATTTATTATAAGTAGCCTAGAGAATATTTTAAATGTGAAGAAGAATGTGATCGGTTATATGTACTGTCATATCATATAAGTACTTGAGCACCTGCAGATTTTGATATCCTCAGGGGAAAATCCTGGAACAAATCCTCCATGATACCAAAGGACAAATGTACTCATTAATGGAAAAATAAAGAGAGCTAGAGGGCTTCTTCTTCCTAGGTAACATATGTTCTACTTCAAATCTCATTATTAGAAAGCCCCTATCTTATTTATTTTAAATTTATTTTAATTGTCCTCTTCATCCTCTAGTTATATTCTCCATCTCTCCCCATAATGCTCTACTGTAATGAGTTTTTATATACAAGAGGACTTCAAAAAGATCATGGAAAAAATGGAATTAAAGTACAAACTTATTTCGGTGCAAAAATTTTTTGAAAGCCATGCATAGTTTGTTCATAGTGCTCATTTTCCATGAAATTTTTGAAGACTCCTTATATATCTTTGAATACATACATATAATTTGCTATAATTTTTTAAATTCAACAAACATTAACTGAACACTTACTATGTGCCAGATACTATGGGGCAGATAGATACTAGATATACAGCGCTGAGAAAAATAAACAAGATTCTGTTTTTCTCATGGAAGTTGCTGTCAAGATATCAAGCAGTTTATAAGCCTCAGTGCAATAACAGCTACTAGGTGAGCTTGCCAGAATTTCATAGATTCATCCAATAAGGAAACAATAATCCCGAAGAGATATTACTTACAAAGACTGTGTTCGCAAGATCAGTGTGGTGTCAGTTTTCTGTATCCCTTTGTCCACAGATGATATTGAACCAAAATGGCCAGGCGACAGATGACAGTAAAGAGTGGGGCACTCTGGTGCTGAAGAGGCAACTCTAGACTGCAGCTAGCTGTTTTATAGTCTGTATCTGTACCCACAGGGAATGAAGTAGAAACTCCTAACTTCCTGGAGTCAGAAAGTAGGATGAGAAAATGTCTTATGGCAGCCTCCCGCAAGATAGGGAGCCTCCTACAAGGTAGAGAGGCAGATAAGAAAGAGCATAGAGGCAACTCCTTCTAAAACTATCTTCTCATGTTCTGGGAGAATCACAGGATGTTCTGCCAAGACTTGGGTTACACTGCAATTGAACATTGCCTACGTGGTCTATGTGGATAATGCAAGGTCACCAGAGTGCCCCAGTGGATCCATTTTTCTTCATTTACACTATATGAATAGATGTTTTCGTCCTAATTAGTTTCACTTAGCATGATGTAATAATAATAACAAACAATATATAATACTTATTAGGTTCCAGGCATTTCTTTAAGAACTTAACACATAGTAAAGTAATGTGAATCCCCACACAGTGATAGGTGCTATTGTTATCATATTGGGTCATCTAAAAAGTCATGATCCATTTTTGCATAGGAAAACAGAAAAATACATCATGACTTCCAATGATTTAATAACAATACATTTTTCATATGAGGTTACTAAAGCACAAACAAATTAAGTAACTCACTGAAGTCCACAAATCCAGAATCTGGCAAGTTTGAAATCAGGCTATTTGAACTTGATAGAAGTGTATATAAAGTAATATGAGTGAAAGAAGAAGTCTAAGCTGATTTCATGGTAAATGTGACATTTGATCTGAACATTTGAATAGTCACATATGGTTTGTCAGGCAGTAAAGGATACAAAGCTGTCCAAGCAGAGTGAATAGCATGAACTGATGTTTTTGGAGCCTCTGAATGCACTGGCATGGAGTAATATAGAAGATAAAACAGTGTTAAGTGGCTTAAAGCTAGTTGGCATGTCATATTAAATGTTATGGACTGAATTGTGTCTCTCCTTCCACCTCCACCTTCTGGAAAATTCATATGTTAAAACTCCCAATGTGATGGTTTTTGGAAATGAAGTCTGTGGAAACTTGGTAGTTTTAGATGAGGTTGTGAGGGTGGCTTTCAATGATGAGATTAGTTGCCTAATAAAAGAAAGACACTAGAGAGCTTTCTCAGATTTCCAGCCTCCATACTTGTGAGGAAAAAATAACCTGTTGTTTGAGCTACTCAGTCTATGGTATTTTATTATGGAAGCCCAAGCAGACTAAGATACTATGAAATTTGTGCTTTATTTTCTGGCCTTAGAGGTAATAAGTGTTTTAAAGCAGATGAATTTAATTATTAAATGCATAGTTATTTCAGAAAAGCCTAACAGCAGCATGAAGATTGAACTTGGAGGTGATTATGGTGGGAGTAAAGTTTGAGAGATTGATGGTAGAGAAACAGGTTAGACAATTGCACTAATCCCAATAAAAGAGCCTGGACTATGGAAGTAGGTATAGAGAGAAAAAAATGATTTCAGTAGACATTTCAGAGATAATATGGATAAGACTTGGAAAGTAGCTGACTGATTCGTAAGGGAGACAGATTTTTAGCATAAGTGACAAGGCGAATGATAAAAACAATCCAGCTATGGGAGTGTAACATGGTTATCACTGTGTGGTACATTGGAGGTGGTTTTTGTTTCTTTTTCTTCATCTGAATTTTCTAGAGTATCTACAATTGCTATCTTTTACTTTTGGAGCGAGAGTAAGCAATCAAAGGCTGGTTTTGTTTGTGTGGTGTGGGTGTGAGGTACAAATGCAAAAAAAAAAAAGACAAAGTTCTAGGAGGAGAAAGATATTAAGTTTTTGCTACATTGAGTTTGAAGTACAGTTAGATACATCTTTTTGGAAGTATCCAGTAGACTGTTAGAAATACAAATCTATGTGAAATTTAAGAGGAAGAAAGGGATTAAAGATGTTAATTTTTCAGAATTGATGGTGTTTGCTCTGCAGTGTTAAAATATACCATCACAAAATGCTGGGTTTGCATTAGAAATGAACTAGTATTTATTTTAAGTGTGTGTGTGTGTGTGTGTGTGTGTGTGTGTGTGTTTAGGGAGGGTGGTTGAGATGGATACTATGGAACTTGCAGGAATGGGGCTTACTGGGGAAAGAATAGGTGGCCTTTGAGTTGGAGTCAACAGTCAAAGAGCTGATAAGGAGACATTTTAAGGTGAACTAAAAAAAAAAAAAAAAAAAAAACAATACACCGCTTTTTCATAAGCCTGTTTTTCTCTTTTTCTTAGTCATCCCCTCTCTGGGATATGATCCTTCCCCCATCTCTAATCTCACTGAGAATGGGAGGAGAGTCAGGGATGGAATATAAGTTAGTCACCATCTGGCAGATACAACCAGCAGTCACATATTTATCATATGTATTTATTTCAGAAAGGGCTATCCATCATTCTGAGCAAAGTGTCTGCTCATCCTCTGAGAATTTGTTTCTTGAAAAATTTGCTTCTCAAATCCTGATTTCTATTAAATAACCATATTTATTTACTTACTTTTAATGGATAAATAGATATGGCTGCTCGATAATGAAATGGATTCTCTTTTCGATTTAAGATATTAGAGGATACTATTTTTTGGTAGACTTCTTGATTATGCTAAACTTGTTTGATAAATTCTATATAAGACCATGTGGTAGGGAGGATATTTGAGCTGTAATATTATCCCTTATTATCAACTCCAGGCAGCACAGTAAACCTTTCAGTAAATTTCTAATAGTTATTTTAGTAATACACATACATTTATAGTAATATTCATAGCATTTCTTTATAATGATGATGGTGGGTGAGAGAATGATTACTTCCTTAAGAGTTAATCAATTGTACAGACTTAATATATTTCTGATTAAATGTAATATATATTTAAAATTTTAAACAATGTGGGACCAGCAGTTGGTGTAATAGATATGTTGCTGGACTCCCATGTAGTCGACTGTGGTTTGAGTCCCAGACCTGGTGGCTTAAACTCATGCTAAGCACGTGTGCGTGCTTGCCTAAGATCTCGAGAGGAGAATGGAGGAGAAGGGATTGTGGCATAGCCATGCTCCCCTAGGGGGTGATTTCTCACTTTCTGTCTCTCTCTGTCTTTCTGGCGAGTGTACACTCCCTATAGCAAAAACCTCTTAAAAAATCTTAAAAATTTAAAAAATGCAAAATTTAGTAGAGTTGAAAATAAAAGTTCCCCATAATTAGAAAGAAATTGAGTGTGTATGTGTGTGTGTGCATGCAAACACATGTGCACGTATATGTGTGTGTATTCAAGATGGGCTTAAGGTCAGGGATAGAATAAGGATAATAAAAATCAGTAATTTTACACTTTGGTGATGTCATTTTGAGTATATTTTATCAACATATCTGAATCACATGGTCCAGAATCCTTGAGCTAGAACAGGCAGAAACTTATGATTCCATGCAAGAAGATTCACAAGTTGACCTTGTAAAATAGTACCTAATGAATATTTAAAAGAATCGGAAAGGATATTTAAAAATGGGAGAGAAATCATAATAGTAACTACCGCTGTAAAGAAGTAAAGCAGAAGGAACTTTTGATGTTCCTTATGATGCAGAAAGAACTTTTTGATTTACAATTAAGAAATCTTTGCGGGAACCAACAGATAGCATTATGGTTACATCGCTGGACTCCCACATAGTCAACTGCAGTTCTAATCCTGGACCCAGAGGCTTAAAATTCACGCAGGGTGCATGTGTATGCATGCCCAAATCCAGAGAGGAGAATGGAGAAGAAGGGATTGCGGAATGGCCATCCCCCTGGTGGGGGGGGGGGTGATTTCTCACTTGCTGTCTCTCTGTTTCTCTGGCAAGCACATGCACCCTATAGCAAAACTCTCTAAAAGAAAAAGAAAAAAAAAAAAAAGAAGTCTTTGGTGGGCTAACCCTATGGTATGGTAGTTAGTTAAGCACTGCACAGAGGAAGCTAGATCCCATATGGCCAACCAGGGTTCAAATTTCAGCCCCAAAGATTTGAAAACCATGCCAGGACATGTTCCTGTGTCCAAGACCTTACAGGGCATGGAAAAAAGGAGGAAAAAGGATTACAGTGTGACCAGGCCCCATTGAAGGGATTTTCTTTCTCTCTCTCATGCATTTCCTCTGCATTAAAAAAATCTTTAGTGATCTTTGCAAGAGAGCAGCTTCAGTGTCATACCCGATATGGATTGAAGAAAGTTGAGAAGTGAGTGAATAGGATATGAGAAAGAGAAAGCAGCAAACATAGATCCTTCTTTGAGGAAGTTTATCATTGATGAGAAGGAGAGAGAAGATGGCTGTTGAGGGGGAGATGGGATACAGGAGCTTTTTTAGGATAAGAAAGACTTACGTATATTTTTCATTGATGACAAGAATCCATAAGCAATCACATATTTGTTCATGTAACATTTAGTTCCTACTGTGTCACCTCTTTTAATAAATGATAGAAATCATGTGCATGCAAGAAAGAGAGAGAGAGAGAGAACCTGACACAGGATATCATTATGTTGTCATCCTCTTTTCCCAGTCCTCCCACTCCTCAGGATCCTAGGAAGCTGTGCACACCTGGTTTCTTTTTCGTGCCTACCTAGGATCTGAACCATAATCACCATGTGATTTCCAGTACTGTAGGGTGCTAGCATTACTGCTGTGCCACCTCCCTCCTACTTGAAACATGGTTTTCTCTTTACCATAATGATTTGTTTCCCCCCAAATCACGGGGCATTTCTCTTCTCCTTTGTTCCCACACTATTGGCTGTTCTGTGCTTGAAATTTTCTATAGCTTTGACCTGTGCTTTTTTGTTTTGTTTTTCCTCTGTTTACTCTCTTTCAGTCTAGTTCCATAGCTTTAAATATCATTTATCTTTTTTTTAAAGAGGTTTTTGCTATAGGGCACATGTGCTCGCCAGACAGACAGAAACAGACATAGAGACAGAAAGCGAGAGATCATCCCCCAGGGGGGATGGCCACACCGCAATCCCTTCTCTTCCATTCTCCTCTCGGGATCTTGGGCACGGATGCACACGCACCTGGCGTGAGTTTTAAGCCACTGAGTCTGGGACGCGAACCGCGGT